AGTTTTTAGTCTATTGTTATTATTTTTTTGTATTACTTTAGATTAAGGTACTATGTATATATATATATTTTTTATATAACATTTGTTACTGCACTTCTCACAATCATGTTTTTTTTTTTTTTTAGTTTTTTCTTTAACTAGGGTTGCCTGGAAGAGATCGCTTATTAGCGATAAGGCCGCCCGTTCATCCCTTATAATTTTTTTTTGTATTGTGTTTGATTTATTGTTTTTGCAACGAAGTGTTAATAAATAAATAAATAAATAAAAACCTACCGCAATTGCAAATACTTATTTGCATTAAGGCATAAAAAATGCAACTGGATGTTTTTCAGGTAATATTGTGTTCATAAATATGTATGGTTTTTCAATTTGATATATTTACCTCTTCTCAAATGATTTTAAATACATATGTTGAAGACTTTTGTCTTCTGACTTTCAGAAACATAACATATATGTGACTAATAATAATTTATTGAATTACAGATGGTGTGTGGTGATCTGAACAGCATAAGCCAATCTACAGTCTGTTTAATTATAAATAAAGTTTCTGCAGAGTTGAGTAAATTACTTCCTAGATTTGTAAATTTTCTAAAAATATGAAACACCATAACGAAGTTTGAAGAATTAGGAAGATCTAATACTCACCATGGCCTAACAGTATCGAGCTATTGACTGCACCCATATAAAAATTAATAGACCCAAAGTATCACTCACTCTGAAGCATACAGAAATAAAAAGGGTATTTTTCTGTAAATGTGCAAGCAATAATAGGGCCTGATATGGAAATATTTGCTATAGTGACTAGGTGGCCTGGCAGTTCACACGACAGCAGGATATTTAGAAAATGCCTGTTTTAGTAGGTGACACGGTTATCCAGCACTTAACTTCATGTTAACAACACTTTTAAATCCAATGACAAAGCTGCCAATATTTATAATTATTCTCAAATAAGAACTAGGCATATTTTTTAAAGGTTTTTCGGAGTGTGATAAAGGAAATTTCCATTTTACAGCTAGGACTACAGTCAAAATTGACAAATACTAGTTAAATATAATTATAGCTTGTGTTGTATTGCATATATAGGTATACAGAGAGGGGATGCCTATGATGATGGTGATCTTGCTGACACAGAAGTTGAGTAACACAGAAACAATGAAAGATCTCCTACAGGTCTAGCATTCCGGCAATCTGTGATTGCACAATTTAACTAGGTAATTTGTTTGGTAATAAAGAATATCAAAACAAAACTTGTTTCATTTTAATCATTTATTTTCTGATTCTTTTTTTAAGTGTAATACATATTTCTAATACTAATTTATATTTTTGTTGAAGAAATTCTATTTCCAACAGATTTTTTAATTTCATATGTTCCACTCCTATCTCAAATTTTTTAGAGTAGTCAGGTAATAAATGGTAGAAATTCAGGGAAGAAAATAACAGATTGAAGCGAGAGACGGTTAGGTTATAGTTTGATTTCGTTGTCACTATTGCCAGGGCTGCCAGGTATCAAAATCACACCAGTTATTTTTAAGATTTCTCAAAAATGGGGTTTGAACAATTACATAAATAATATAAATACCATAATAATGTGTAATTATTTTAATTCATGCATTTCATAGGTATTTATCAAGATCATTTATAATTTCTTTGAATTCAAATTCTATTTTTCCCAAAGTCATGGAACTCCGAACAAATGCAAACCGTTCATTAAAAACGACAAAAATAAAAAGTCCAGTAAAAGATATGATGGTAAAGCAAATTTTGGGCCATCATTTTTGTTAGGCTATAGTCAAAGTTTTTGGTAAGTCGTCGATTTCGTGGACTTGAGATTAACTAACCAACACTAGGGAGAGATTCACAGTTTGCTCTATAAATCCCGACTGTGTCTTAGCTCGATAGTTAAGTCAGAGCAAAGTCTAAGTGCGCACTATAGATCTCACCCTAAGTCTCTTCGCCAATCCGATAGGATACCTTACATCTCAATTTATACCCGCAATATTATTTTATTGCAAATATTTGTTTATTATTTGATACAATTCTAAAAGATGGCGCTGTGTTAAAAGTACCAACGTTTCACATAAGCTATCTTCCTTTCACTTAAGTTCTCCTAACGTTTCCTTTAAATAGTTTACTACTATGTAATATAACAAAAACCTTAGCCACAGCAATGCTTGGCCGGACTGCTAGTATTTTATATATCATATACAACAAGGCTTCAAGAATATATTGACCAGATAGTGTCATAATATTTAATTCCTTAAACTTATTCCGTACCGACTCCCTCGAGGAAACACAACAAATACCCCGAACAGCCCGCTTCTGCAGCACAAATATGGATTGAACCTCTGCAGCAGCACCCCACAGTAGAATACCGTAGGACATAACTTTAATAATCGTTATCCCTTTTGCTATTATAACTTAGAGTATACATGAGTTACATGACGCATTTAAAACAATTCTACATCTCTTTTTGCGAATACAGACACATTATAATTATTAATGATTCCGTCGGTATCACTTAATATCAGATGAGGCTCCTGCGTTTTGGTCCCCTGTTATAAAAAAAATTTAACTGCGTCAAATATAAACATTTTTTTAAATCTCAAAACATTATATTACGGTGCGCACGTTGGGCGCCATTGTGTTAATGCACCAAATCTGTGTTATCTAAATGGAATAAATTGTAATAATTATATAATTTGTTCTACAATCTCCGTGATGCACCTTATTTGAGACACAAATTCCTAAACACAACATTTAGGTTAATTTTTCAAAAACATCATTTGAACGAAAATATGCTACGTACGGAATGACACGCTTCTAAAATAAAATCTAAACATGACTATTAAATAAATTACCAAAGAGAGAGCCACTTATATTACCTTGAATAATAATGGAAATTTGTACAAAAAAAAACATAATTATAAAATCCGAAACACTATATATTCCTAGGACGTCATTTTGCTATTGCGGTTTTCAAATGCACGCCATCTGTTGTTTAATATATGTATGTATATGTCGCAGCCAACTAGCTTTATTAGCCGTTCAATTAACAGCTTAGCCTTTTAAATAAACGGCGCCGATAAACTAGCGGCCTGAAAGTTGGTCAGCCAGTTAATCAAACAGCTAGGCAAATGACTTGGATCGATGACGTTCATTACTTGCCTAGCCTGTTGCCTGTTAATTTAAATTTAATTCCACTTTCTGCTACTCTCAAACTCGAAACGAAACTCTTCAAACTGTCAATATGGCGTCGGCAAACCACTACTTTGATGGTGTTTTCCAAAGTTTCATAAAAAACAACAAGTACACTGGAAGAGTGTAGTGACAATAATAATCTGAATTTGACTCAAGCAATTTAATTTTAAAAGAAATATTTTTTTATGTCATTTGTTTATCTTTTTATTTCTGCCAAATAATGATTCTATAATACGAATGGCATAAGCATTAGCCAGCCATTTTATTAAATGTTGTAACAAACGCTACAGCTGAATATCTTTCAGGCCGCTAGTTAAAAGGGGCCGTTTAGTTAAAAGGCTAAGCTGTTAATTAAACGGCTAATTAAGCTAGTTGGCTGCGACATATATACGTAGTCGGTCCCAAAGTTCTGTCATAAATGGAAATAATGATAAAAACAAAAGTACTGATCAGTTTGTAATGAGTGATATATCAATTCTTAGTACATTAATTAAGGAATAAAAAAAAGCATAAAAATATTCGAAATAACCTCCCTCATTTTTAATACAGGCCCTTAAGCGTCGCGGCCAGTCGTCTATCGCAGCACGCACCATATTCGTGTCGATTTCAGTCACTGGTTTTTTTTAAAGATGACTTCAGATTCTCCAAATTTTCATGAGGTTTATCACAGACCTTCCTCTCTAAGCCCTGTCATAATTTCTGGTCCAAAGGATTAAGGTCCGGACTGGAGGAAGGCCAATCCTCATGTCTAATTAAGACGATGTTTTGACGCTCAAACCAGGCTTTAGTGGTCTTGGCTTTGTATGCAGACGCAGAGTCCTGCTGGAACACGAAGTGATGTCCCGCAAATAGGGTGCTGGACATGTCTTTGACAAGGCGATACAAAACCGTCTCTTGGTACACTGTAGCACTGGTTTTGACCCCCTTTTCGAAAAAATTAACCTCAGTTAGCCCGTAATAGGACACTCCCAACCAAACCATTACTGATGATGGATGATGTCCATGTTGCACCCTTGGAACTTTATTTTCAGCTTCTTCAGAACTCCTAGCGTACACTGTATAATTCTGTTTATTGTACTTCTCTTCAATATCGAAAAATTTTTCGTCCGTAAAGAGGATATCACGGTGTCGGTTTTTCGCGTACCGCTTAAACAACACCCGCGATCTCTTAAGCCTTATTGCTTTTAGACGAGCATTAAGTAAGTGCCCACTCTTTTTTTGTATGCTCGTAGACCAAGATCTTCATTTAAAACCTTTTTTACTGTTTTCCTACTGACACCCATCTGCAAATCCATCAACTTCTGTTTTCGGACAGGATTTCTTACTATCCGCGCCTTGATAGCTTTGATTACTGCTGGTGTTCTTGCGGAGCGTGGCCAGCCAGTTCTTTTCTTGTCCTCAACACTGGAGACTTCAAGGTACCTATCAATAGTACCGTACACAAACCTAAGCGTTATATTCAAATTTTTGAGCAACTTGAAAATGGTACTCGGCGAGTGTCCACAGCGGTGCAACGCAATAACAACTATTCGGTTTACTTTCAATGTCCACTCCATCGTGAAAAATTACGGAAAGTTATTGTTTTTTGTTTTAAAACAATAATCAAACATTCCAAAATAGAATGCAATAATTTTTTTATAAAATCCTGCTCGAAATGTAGAAATAATGTGCTAGTGACAGAACTTTGGGACCAACTACGTATAGTTGTCAGTTATAATGTTTATAGCACTCTATTTCTCTGATAATATAATTATTAAGAAGTTTTAATAAATAATAATTTAAAACGTCATTTAATCTTCGTTATGTATGCTTTTAGTTTGTCTGACTCTGACGTGGAGACCCGGTTAAAATTTATATCGGCTGGAAGAGAAGATGTGGACGTGAGATGTTTGGGCGATGGGAGACCATTTGCTATCGAAGTATGTATCTATGAATTTGATTTTCGTTTAAATTGTCTTTTAAATATATTTAGTTGTGTTAAGAGTTTCTAAGTCAGTCTTGAAGTTAGACCCTTGATTTATTCTATCTTAAGTATGTAAAAACATAATTAATCCATACATGTGTGACAATATTTTTACGTTTGTGTCCACAGCCGTAAGCTCTCTATTAAATTCCAGGTTCTTCAATTTATATTTTAAAAACCTTGCCTACAAAATATAAATCTCGATTAGTATTAAGAAACTATAGAATGGTGAAAGATCTTTTAAAATTCTTCTTAAGGTACGAATCTGAAAACATAGTAGAATAGATGGATATACAATTGATTTCATTGTCTTAATAAATAGTAAAAAATATATTATTTTGGCATTCAGCTACCAGAATATAATAAATAAATAGAGGTACACGATTGATTATCCTTTAAATAATTAGATAGCTAGTTAGGGAAAAGATCTGCATCTTAATTAAATAATCATATAGATTTCAGATCCAATAAGGCAACTTACTAGTGAGGAATTAAATGGCGCATGCGCGGAAGTATCCAAAAGTGGTGACGTCATTGTGAAATATTTGACTTATTTGACCAAGTGAGTTTTTTTTAACTTGCGATTTTTTGATTGATTTGTTGTTTTTTTATGATTTAATTAATTTTAAATCCACTATTTAGAAAACACAACAATAAGTTTCAGATTCCCGTCTATAATATACCAAACATTTTAAATAAAAAATAACATATTTTGTTTGGTTGTATAATTCTATTGAGGACCTATATCTTACCTTGTTTTAATTATGATTATATTTATCCACGTAGGTCTGTGTCTAGTAACACAAAAATTGTTTGACCGAGGATCGAATCCAGGACCTCCGGCTCTCGACGTCATATACAAAGGCTAACGAATGAAATATTTTTTACAGAGACGATTTAATTCAATTAAAAAAAGGTGAAGAAACAAAATGTAAAACGTACGAGGCGTTATGCATCAAACTGACACACTCCAAGTTTGACGACGTACGTATAATCCTACTTAAGGTATTGGGCTTATCCCTCTGATCCCTGATCAATCCCTTTCAAGGGTTTTCTTTTTCGCTATTAACAGTTCTTCGTTCGGCGAAAGAAAACATCGTGAGGAAACCGGCAACATTCTGAGTCGAGACTTAAATTGCGCTAAATTCAACGAATGAATCTGACCCTTATTGGTCATATTCTCACCTTTAAAAAAAATACCAATTAAATCCGCTATTAAAATATATTTGTCATGCTCTCTACAATTGCTTCTTCATGAAAAAAACATTTTTTGTCATAAATTCATAGTTTCTCGAGTCTTACTCCCGTCAAAAGCGAGATATTATCCAATTTTATCCGAGAGATTCGAACCCTAAACTTATCCAACTTGAGTTTATCCAACATTCAGCGAGACTATGAATGAGAATAATAAATATCAAATCTATATATAATTATATAATATTGTTGATATCATTTTTTTTTCCACAAGTATTGCAAAATTAAACTTATATATGAAATGTATTCTTTGTTTTGTTTCTCATTTCTCAACCATTCAATCACAATGAGCCACAGCGAAGCTTGGCAGGGAACAGCTAGTATATAATAAAATGCCCCAAATACCTTGTCAGGCCAATGGTTGTAATATGACGATGTACATTTTTTAGAATAAAACAGAATCCGTAAAGGTGACCCAAGAAGATATAGATTACATAAACAACTATCGCAATACAGAGACGGATGACCCGGTCCGGATTCAAATCACTCAGAAAACCCCAATTCGGGTGTTACATAGACGACCTTTGCTTACAAGAAAAAGAGAGATCCTTGATTTACAGGCCAGGATTGTGCCAGGTGAGGGTTTTTAGAGGCAATATATATTTTGTAAGCAGTATTGTTCTAGTGGCTTCAGCGTGCGACTCTCATCCCTGAGGTCGTAGGTTCGATCCCCGGCTGTGCACCAATGCACTTTCTTTCCATGTGCGCATTTAACATTTGCTCGAACGGTGATGGAAAACATCGTGAGGAAACCGACATGTCTTAGACCCAAAAAGTCGACGGCGTGTGTCAGGCACAGGAGGCTGATCACCTAGTTGGCTATTAGATTTAAAAATGATCATGAAACAGATTCAGAAATCTGAGGCCATTGAGCCCTAAAGAGGTTGTAGCATTGAAAGCGATGAAAAAAACTTGTAATGTTGAAAGAGCCTTCTTAATATTAAATCTTTAAATGTACAAATGATTTCAGACCAGCCCCAACTATTTCTCCTCTCAATTCGTACGTCAGCGGGAACGTACGTAAAAGAGTACGTACACGGCGAACTCGCTCGTACACATCCGTCTCTTTCGCACGCGTTGAACGCCGATATCGATCTTCTCGCTCTAGACGTGACTCAAGTGCATTTAGAATGGCCTCCGAAATAAAATTATTTTTGAAATCTTTTCAAATCTTATTATCTGATTTAATCACTAAGGTAAAAATAAAACAATAATAATAAAATCACAATTTAATACTTATCTTACTGGAATGTCTTCCACCACAACCATAAACATTCTAAATACAAAGATAACATCACAGACAAAAGCTATTGGTGTGTCAAATGTCAAATTTTTTTTTGTCTGTGCACAAAACTTAAAGCTATAAGGACGGATATTCAGATCTAAAATACAATAGATTGTTATTAGAAGTAAGTATTGAATGTTTTGTCCCTATCATTCTCATAAAATAATTAAAATGAATAAACGGGACAAAACATAATATGATCATTTTTGAATAGTTTAAAAATTATATAATTTTCCATTTACCCTTCCGTCCGCTGGGTATTAACAAATATTCCTTATACTAATATAAATACACAACCAATATATTATGTTATATGTTTCTTTTTAGTTGAAATTCTATAGAGCATAGACAATATTCTTTTTAAATCTGGCATTTTTTCCTTAAAATAGGAATCATAAATATAGTTCTCCTAATTCATGTATAAGTAGCGGCACGAAACTCTAGCGCTGACCGTCATTGCGCAGAAGTAAAAAATAAGGTACCTGAGGGGGGCTAGCGGAATGAAGAGCGGGCGCGCGTAGCGTCGATTGGCTCTCCAGTCGCATTCCGTCCCCCGCACCGATACGACGCCCCGCGCACATCCCGTGTACAGTCGCTTCATTAATATTATTGTTACTGTTGTTTTTTGTTACGTTTGAATTTGTTAGTGTTTTGTTGTTTGTTATTTGTTTTTAAGTTTGTTTGTGACTTTAAAGTGAATATGCCTAGAACAAATACTGTTTTGAAAAGACAAGTCAGGAAAATGGTTTATGACGTGAATTGTTTTTTAAAAAGGGAATCTAACGAATTAATTGATTCTTTGAAACAATATTCAGCTTAATATCGTTATTTAGGTAATCATTAATCAAAGTGGCATATAATGTATTGCGTGCGCGACAGTACACATGCGCAGCAATCCCCTCCTCGTATCGGCCAGCGCTAGACTTACGTGCCGCTGCTTATACTTCGAAAACGTTTATATATTTATTTATGAATTATACTTACGAGTATTACATAACACTTAAATTGATTAATGTTTCATCATTGAAATGAAAGTACATAGATAATATTATAAAAAGATTAAAGATAATATATGTTCAGTAGGAATTATTAAAAATTATCTTTTATAGTGAACCTCCACCATTTACAATTAAGGTTTGAATTCACTTATAGAGACAACAATTGGTGCATCTTAAAAACAAGTCTTGCTTTTGTTAATCCATCTGAATAATTTAAGACACACAAACATCTCTCAATACACGATTAAAAAGCTCCTAAATTTCATTGTGTAATAATTTAATACTGATATATATATATGTCACTATAGCAACGTGTACAAGTAGTACATAATCGCCGGAGCCCAACAACTCTGGAGCATTGTGAAGCCAAAAATGGCGGCAAAAATGAACCACAGCAAGACTATAATCATAACTTGCCATAAAATATGGGCGACTTTTAATCTGAAAAAGAAAAACTAAACTAAATGGGTGGGGCCTTACATATCAACGAAATTGTGAATTCACCATTAACTCCACGACACGGTTCAGCAGTGTGGCTTTTGCTTTTCAATTACTTTATGTAACATATATAATGAATAAATATTTTTTACTAATATACACTACTACCTTAAAATAAAATTTAAAATACTCACATGGCGTCTTTAGTTTTTGCGGCAGGAATTGATTTCTCACTCTCTTTGTTCAAATATCTTCTCACTCCCAAATGGAGATTTACAAAGTATTCTATCCACTGGAAAAATAATAACTCCCTTTCATTAAAACGGTTAAATATATGTACTTCTTAAGTGGTTTTAGACCATTATTTCTTATTTCATTAATTATTTAAGACAAGTAAAATATTCTTTCAAACCCATCAGGCAAAGTAAAATTATTTAAAAAAATGCCGTTAATAGAACACAAGACATATATAGGAAGGGGCACACTCACATATATAGAGGATATATTAATATAGAACAAATCCTCATCCACACTATTAAGCTGCGTCGCTAATTCCCTTGTATTAGGATTATGGAACCTCCATTCGGAGAAAATGAATGTTTCCAAACGAGCCAGGGAATTCCAGACATTTTTGTGTAGACGGAATAGTCTGAAAATACCATTAGAGTTAAAATGATAAGCCTCCATCAATATATCTTTCCTGAGTAGCGAATCCACCAAATAAATAAATACAAAGATATTTTTTTAAATAGGAAATTCAAAAATTCTACTTACATGGGCTTGCCTCCAGTAATCCTTAGTAACATGTCGAGCAAAATGGCGGGAAAGAAATGAACAAAGATGGCCGATATACGGAAGAGGAAGAGCGATGGAACAAATTGTAAATGCGGGTACCTAAAAGAATTATTGTAAACAAATTAACAATATTTCTAATAAAAAAACCCTATTTATACCTGTTGTGTCAATGGTAAAAATAAATAAAAATGCAATACTAAATAAAATGCTTTAGCATATCTGTTAAATTAAGATTGATATATTACTTTATTTACATCAAGCCCATATAGTAACACATATTTCACATAAAAATCTAAACAGTACTAATGGAAGGAATAACGTAAAAGGATAAAGTTATCATTACCATTCAAGCTAATCCATAAATATATATATATTTTTTTTTTTAATTACACAAAAAAACACAAGTATAAAATATTAATTCCAATGACCTCACAAATCCATTGAATAGGTGGTAAGATTAGTAGTAGTAGTACTGTTTAGCCAAATGAAGTTTTGTATTAGAACTAATGTATCTGCTTTTTAAATTGTCTTACCAGACAGCACTCTTAAGTGGGTAATTGTGAAGCATTTCATTGACAACAGAGTTTAGCATATTCCAACGGAAAGGATTCTGTGTTGAAGTCGTACAGTGGTAAACTGTTAGACCCGACCTGAAAATATATGAATATTACATAGATTAAGGAACGCTTTCATGACTTTTTCACAAAATACAGTGTACACTCTACATAACGACACTCAAGGGACTGTGCATATTTTGACTTTACAAAGAGTTAAATGGAAAAAAGAAAAATCTGTATGTATTTCAGTAGTAGTGTTAGTAATTACATAAAAACAATTCTTATTTGAAGGCTATCCTAACGCTTTTGTTGCATCAGCAAATATGTTTTATTTTTTTACTTGTTTTATTCATATCTTGCGATATTGAGACTTCGTAACCTTCGTGATAAATCACGTGCCAGAGATCCCAATTTGTAAACAAAAGAACGGATTTCTTAGAAAGTTCGGTACGTATGATTATATAAGGGCAATAAAGCGACAAAAGAACGTACATAGCTCCGCAGTTTTAACTAATTTCGGAAACTTAAAAAGTACTTTTTATTATTTTAGTGTTGTTATTGAGGGTGGGTATAATGCTATGTGGACTATGTCATTGTATGGAAGACAAGCTAAACCAACCAAAGCCAATTGATTTCGACGCTTTAGAGATGTTTGTCGTTAAATCGACGAACGTTACATAGAGTTTACACTGTAGTTAAAAGTAGACTAACTAAGTTTTAAACTAACTTAATTAAGACACTTAAAATATTATATCTCCTTAAATGTCTCCCATACTCACTTCTGTTTAGCAGCGTGCCATCCTGCTACAAGTAGTTGGTTAATAACCACATCAACTGGAATATAATCAGCTATGTTTTCTGTAGAGAGAGGTAACCGACGGACAACACCTAAAAACATTATTATTTCCAGAAAATGATTGTCGAAATATGACCGTGGTAAGAAAAACAACAATAAAACAGATTTGTGCTAAGTAGTTTCAGAATAAAGAAATGTTCCCACAAATTTTATTTAATGACAATAATACAAATTGCGCGGACTTCATTATAATTATTTATTTCCATAAGAAACTGCTAATATTCTTATTATTCCGTTTTAATATTGTTTTTCTCAGTGAAACGTTCAAATAATAAAAACATATTGGTACAGAAAAAATAATATAACTGATATCATTTGAAATCATAGATGTGACCCAAAAACAGGATATTGTTCTGCTAGAAATGAGAGAAAATAGAGGTCACAAAATATTATATCAAAAAGATAAAATATAATACAAAGCATTGTTTGTATATAATGTAGTGAAACTAGTTTTATGCTGGGTAATTGGGCTGTTACAAAATCATACCTTTAGCGGCTCCCATAAGAAATCCTTGGGGTCCAACTTTTGAACAAGTCCAGCCTATCACAGGTTCTTTCCAGGATGCCACAACTGGAAAATAAATAAAGAATAATCAGACATATATTTAAGAACATATTCTATCACTTGCTTAATAAATGTGGTGATGCTGATTATGACAAATTAATTACAAAAAAAATTGTGTCTTCAGAATCAAAGTATCATCAATATTATTGCAAAGAGTCACAAATTAGACAAGATATAATTAGTTTATAATTATCCACTTAATACTCACTCATAGAAGGCCGGACAATTGTACAAGGGAATAGATTTGAGCAGTTCTTAACTTCATGTTCTGCAAGGTGCTTTGTGAATGTGTACGTATTTGGGTGTCCACGAAGGATGCTAAAAAGTTTTAAATAATATTCGTAATTTGCTGTAAGTGTAAATAGTGTTTTTAGGTATTTGTAATTTTTTTAAATGTTACATTGAACCAAAAAAAAATATCAGTGAAACATCCTTAACTTATTTGCAGTAAGCTCCAAAGTAAAATGTTACAAACTATAAATATATTATGTAACAATATAAAAATATAATATTGAATAGATTCAACTAAGGCATAATCTACTCACGTCTTCTCCATATCTTCCAAAGCTTCATCAGACAAGCGGTTAACAAGATTAATGACACTGTCAACATCACCTGGAGTTTCATATATTTTTTCTTCAGCTTCTTTTAAAAATGAGTTAACATAGGCTGAGGATACATGCACCATTACCTGAATTTAAAATATGTACTTATTTATAATACAGTTAACTTTGGAAACATTTAAAGTTATTTATTTTAGATTCAGTACTAAGAAATAACATATACATAAACTTTATTATTATAGTATATTTTATTTTGTTATCCATCAAAAAAGTAATAACACATAAAAATTCATGCAATTGTTGGTAATCAAATTAAATCAAAATCATTTAGATAGAGTTTCTCGTCTCGAATATAAAAAAGTTTCTTCGTCTAAACATTCACACCTTCCATCCTTCATTGCTCTTCTACTTCTTCTACTACTAGGAAATCATTGTCTAGCGAATCTCGTATAACATAATCGTATTATGAGAATTTAGTTCTTGCCTGTATGTAACCATTTTGATATGATAATGCTATGGCGGTTATAGCTGGTGATAGTCGCCTACGATTTGTCGCACCAAAACGTGCGAAAAAACTTTTTCCATCTAAATGGGCCTTTATTAATTTAAGGCCAATAATAAATTTTCCATTGCGAGGCAATTGTCGCTAAAGTAAAAGAGCAATTGGTGTAAATGTTTGAAAAAAGAAACTTTTTTATATTCCTTTGATAATTGGACCTTCGAAACGCGAAACTCTCTCCATCTAAATGGGCCTTTAGGTATTAACACAATGTACACTTATAAATGCCAAAAAGAAATATATATTAAATGCTTCTAATTTTACATTAACTGCCAATTCTCAAAACTAGGGCTTAGAAGGGAAGAGAAGAACTGGCAATAAACTGTCCGCCACTCTTTTAAATTGCCAAGTTTTTGTTTTTCACAATGTTTGTAAGGAGCTGCCACCATTACACCATGTTCGACAAGACATCTTAAGTAATAAATAGTTAGTTAATAATAATAAAAAAATAACGAAAAATGAAGATTTGTCTTATATCAGCAGTATGGTGAAATAGGTGAAATAGAAGCACGCACTTACATTCTCGTGGGAACAACACCCATAGTTGAAATAACTAACATTAGCGTAGACTGACTGTTTAGACTGTAAAACTATATCAATCTATAGACATAGGTTTAAAAAACTTCTTTAGTCTGGTTTTCAAATAAACTATTTTTTATTTAATATGTTTCCTTTTCTCTGTGGTTTTCTAGATTACTTACCTTCAAATCTTTAATCTGTTTACACAATTCTAAAATTCTCTTTGTCCCTAATACATTAATCTTGACAGTTGGTTTCAAGCCCTCTTCAAAATCAAGGGTAGCTGCTGAATGTATCACCACATTTACATTATCTACAAGAAGCTGCCGATCTTCTGGAGATAAACCTAAGTCCTCTACACCTACATCTCCAGAAACTGGGATAAGTTTATTGAAAATGTCTTTTGAGTGGTTTTCTAGCAATTTTTCAAAGACCTGAAATTTAAAAATAAGAGGTTTTCTAATAACTGTTATTTTATGTTATTTCTAATTAAATTTAATATGTTCTTCTTAATAATAAAAATATTAAAAGTTTTGTCAAATTGTAAAAAAACTAATCAGGTAAACTATGAGTGAAGTTATATGTTCTTTAGGATAAATTCATATGTGTAATATGTATGAGTGTTTGTATTTTAATTTTCAACTAACTTTATTTTAAAATTTTGTTTTGAATGGTTAATAAAAATCATAGGAGCTTTTATTACCAAGTGATATCTTATAAAATTATAGTGTTTAATATGTGAAACTTGTGGCCAAACTATACTTACAGGATGACCAGGAAACTCCTTCAATCTCTCTGATATCTCCTTGCCCTTCTTCGGCCGCATTAGCAAATATATTTTTCCAGAATCTGGTATACATCGCAGTATTTTCTCAATAAGGCACAAACCTACGAATCCCGTGCCGCCAGTAATAAAAAAATTCTTTCCACTGTAAAATGCTCGAACTAACGACTCTCCCGTCATTATTATAGTTAATATTAAGTTTGTCTGTAAAAAATGTGTTTGAAATTAATTTTTATAAATATAACGAGAGTAGAAGTAAAACTTAAATCATAATAATATGTCAAATCTGAAATCAGTAAACTCCCTCCAACAAGTAACAAGTTAAACAGTGAACCGAACTTCAATATTAGTCGAAGTCGCCTATAATTGTCACTGCCAAATGCCAATTGACAAATTTGAAAGCGCTCATGTTGTTAGTTATTTGTTTATGTAATTTAATTCATTCATTCAATAATACCAACAGCTAAAAATGTATAAGCTCTGAATAATTATAAAAAAAACCCATTAAATTAAAATAAATATGAATGCAATGAATAAATTTTACACTTATTCAAAATTCCAATAAGTTTTATGAAATTCAAAGAGCCGTGAACCGTAAATTATTGAACTACCTATTTTATACTATACAAAGTATATTAAGTTTTATTATTTTTATGATTATTCCCCTGTTTGGATAAATCTAATTCGCTAATAAATGGTTAGGTTTTCTCTCGCCGTAATGATGTTAACAATTTCACAAATAGCACGAATTCCATCGCCACTATCTCTGTTCTCAGTGTTACCCAATATTTGATGGATTTTTTTTAAGCTTAAGTTACTTAACCAATTTCGTTGAATATTTATTTGTTTATATATAGACGACATAAACGCTCGATATATAAAAATTGATACGAGGGGGGTTAAAAACAAATCTAAAATAAACTAAGAGAAAGCCAAACTGAATCACCTCGGACCTATTCTTATTCGTAATAAGATAAATTTTAATGTTTCCTCGGCTTATGATAAAAACAAACTTAACAAGTGTCTAATAGCATCGGTAAACAACAATTATTACAGATGGTTGACGCAATGTAACAAGATTTCTAAGTAAACGTTATCCAATCACAAACAAACATATCAAACATCCTTAAAAGGTGACAGTACCTACTACGTTTTGGGGTTAAGACAACCTACGAACGTCAATCATAATATAAATCCTATATTATACAAATAATTGAACGGAAACCTAATCACAGGAATCCCGGAAGTATTGGGTTTGATTTTTTTCGAAATTAGTACAGACAGTGTAAACTCTTTATAAGGAATTTAAAAGGAACGAGCATTTTTCTTCGTTATAGAGATCGTTCGTTATAGGGAGGGAAGAGAAAAAACACCAAATTTAACCAATTACAATAATTTATACATATATAATAGATAGGTGACAATGGTGCTTCTAGTAAATGTGACCAAAATTAGTACTTGATGCAATTAACAATAACAAAGGCGAGACGGCTGTTTATGACCTCAGATGGCTTTCTTAGAAATTTCGGCACCTCAATATGTTAGTTTTGTGATCTGATAATACAAACAATTACACTTAAGTATGTTGTTCATGTTAAAATATGAATATATTTAATTTTATTGGTAATAGAGAGTGGTTGTGCGTTATAAAGTTTGAATAAATGGATGGGTTTTGTGATAAACCAAACAATTAATGTACGTCATGTTACGTTATAGATAGTGATTCGTTATCACAAATGACGTTATAAAGAGAGAGAAAAAAAAATAATATATATATATATATATATATGTGTATATTTATGTGTCTACCTCTATGCCCAATTTACGGGATCTCTACGAAACGAACATTTATACGATAAAAAGTATTGTACAAGGTCTATAATGAGGTTGAATGGCTGAAATCAGCGAAGTCATTGCTTACATAAAAAACTTTTGATGACCGAGCTCCGATTAGTTTCAATGGTTGTGTTTTTATGTAGCTGAATAGCATGAATAGCAATAGAAAAAGTATTTGTTACGCTTTCTGGTTTCACTAATAAGAGAATTTCGATAATTTTGTAGCAAATTTGTTGAGAAAACAAAAATAAAGTGGAACAGACATATTGATTTGCAATTCTAAAGATGTTTTCGATGTTTATTTCAATTTAAGTGCATTTTCTGTATAGGCAGAATGGGAGCATGTTTTATGTAGTTAAAATTGCAGACACTGATGTCTACTTTATGATTTTATTGTACCAATTATTGTTTCACAAGAAATCAACTTTAAGATATTCTGGTTTCACCACGTGTATCACTATGAAATTATAATATATCTTACCATCTTTGGTAAAGATTCAGAGATTAAATTCTTTAATCAACTTAGAAAAATGCGATATAAGTATAATACAATTTACCTAGTTTTCAACCGAGACCTAAATGAGGAACCATTGATAATAATTCTACGATGATGAAGTCACGAGCAAAGGCTTGTAAGTAGGTGTTATACTATACGTTATAATGGAGAATGTCGAACGTGCACCGGCCTATTTATTGCCACTATAGCTGCGGTGTTACTTAAACAACAACACAGCTTCTCTTATACCTTATGAGAGCTCTTTTCATAACAGAACTCATCAATCAGCTCAGCGTAAATAGTGGGAAAGATTTGGAAGATATTTTACGTATCATAAAAATGTTACCCGATAATAATCGTTACTTGAAATGGCAGCAACGTTTATGAGGCTACAACATTTTTATATTTAAGCGAATATGATAAAAAAACTAAATGTGAGTCCACTTTGGTAGCTTGTTTAAAGATATTTTTTCCGAGATTGCGAAGTAATTAAGTGCCAAAAATTTGGAACTTTCTTTTTTCAACTCAAAATCTTCATAACCTTTTTAAACCGACTCGGATACTCCACGCTCAATGGAGGAATTTTCCACTGACCAGAGAGTGCCAGTGACCTCAAACATTAATCACATGCGAGCTTGTGTAATTTAAAAACAATGTAAAATAGGCTTTTCAACTATGGAAAATTTTAATAGATTTTTTTCGAATTATATTAGAATTTGTAAATACTCTTTTTATATTAATGGAAATAAAGATCATTTACTTTATATACTGCATTGTTTATGTAAACAATGGTTCTCACAGTTACATTAACTCAGTAAATATATAATTCTATTCAATGCAGTTATCCTTGACCAGTTATTTTATTAGTCTCCTCGATTATATTGCGTAGAATAAAGATAGACTAAAATGTCCTTCTTTTAAAATATAAAAATTTAAGATGCTTCTAAATAATTACTCTGATAATCTTCTCCATTACACTGTCTTTTCTATGTGCGCAAAACACTTTCTAATATGATGAAGGAAAACGTCGTGAGGAAACCGACACTTCGGCGAAAAAGCGATATAAATTGGCATCAATTGGGCAAAAACAATTTAAAAAAAAACTTTATTTGTTTAGCTATATATACATAATAGAATTCAGATTGAGGCCTCCCTAGTAAGTCAGTGACCTGTGAAGCCTATAAGAAGAACAATTGTAAGTAAATTAAAATTAAGGAAGGAAGAGGAATCAACTAATTTCTTTCTATACTATTTCACTCAATTCAATAAAATGGTACTACATACATTATTTATTATTAATATTCTCGTCTGGGAATATTATCCAGCCAGTAACCTCTAACTGCATTCCGTTTCATAACTTTCCTTCTTTATAAACCCACTATTCAAGCAAAAATTAGGTGCAATATCTGGGAATTTGCTTAATTAAAGTATAATTTAATTATCATTTCGGCAAACCCTCGCAATGTTTAAGATAATAAAAACATACATTTAGCTTTACTGCAACTTTTACGGATGTCATAACTTTTACGATTATATTTTTGGGTACATGGATATTAAATATGAAGTCCTGTATCTCAACTTTCTAAAGGTATTTATGCTCTTTAATTGTATTTTTTTAAACGAGGTTATTATCTAAATTGTGTTTCATGGCTGTTGCCTCAAAACCGACTATAGTACCTTTAACTTGTCTACACCAAATAAAAATGTACCTATTTATAAGTATACAATGAAGATTCTTAACTGTCTTTAATATATTTTAGAGGGTGTCATAAGAATGTAGGATGTAGGTAGGTATTAATTATTGTATAATTATATAAATAAATAAAAAAAAATATAATGGGATACGATTTCCACTTTTATGGAGCATTTATAAAGTAATATGAAGACGTTCCACTTTTGGTTTATAATTTAAAGAATTTTTGAGGAACCAAATTATGGATTGACCACTTGACCGTTAAGTGGTCAGTGAAACAGATTCTGTATTGTCTTTGTCGTAAAGGTTACATTTAGCTTTTATTTTCTCATTAAAATTACTTCGCCACAACCAAGGTATGTATTACAGCTGTGGATTGCACAACCTCTGCAAGAAAGTTTTGCTTTCCCACCGCAAACCGCAGTTTTACATAAACAAAGAGGGTTATATATATATATATATATATATATATATATATATATATATATATATATATATATATATAAATATATATATATTTAAACATTTGTTATGTAACATTTGTACTCGTCAAAAATCGTACATGAAACCTGATCAATATCGATCTGCGAATCTCTTGTTATGCAATGTTTGGTATCAGACGAATTCTGCAACAGATGAAATTCTGCATTATATAATAAACTATTGAACCGTTATTACTTCGAAACGACGTTTTCAGATCGCCACTTTGATTGAACGTTTTTACCTATATAAAACCTCGTATTTCAGAAAACGTTTCCCTGTTTAGCGATATTAGTTCTGTTAGAGCAGTGTGGGCCTAGTGGCTTCAGCGTGCGACTCTCATCCCTGAGGTCGTAGGTTCGATCCCCGGCTGTGCACCAATGGCCTTTCTTTCTATGTGCCCATTTAACATTCGCTCGAAAGGTGAAGGAAAACATCGTGAGGAATCCGGCATGCTTTAGACTGATTTATTTTACTCAATCAGGAACAATTATTTAAAGCAGTCTATTGGATTCGTCAAGGTCAGTTATACCTACATCGCATGGAAAATGGAAATACAAATCTAAACAATCAGCCTTCGTTTTCAATTTATCTCAGTCTTTAAATTTCATTTCATATAGTGCCATTGATATATTTCCGTGATTAAATATTATCAAGTAGTAATTGTTTTCGGATAGGTTTTTTGGTAAACAATAACATGCTTAATAAATGTACACGAATTATAAAAAAATTAAAACCTATATTCTCTTTAATATTATATTTAATAACTGAACTTCATGAATGTTTTAATATGCATTAATTTAATTTAAAAAATCACATTTTAATGTCTAAAATCTTCTAAATGAATTTGGAACTTCTATGAATTCAACCGAAAGGTTTCCTTTAACTAAGTTACGAATTCAAACGTCTATAGAATTAATTTATATATGTAAAATAGAGACAGTTATTTTAACGGCCATTGCGCAATAAAACCTCCAAAACATAATCTATAATTATGTTTGCTTCTTTCTTCTGCTTCCGTTGCTGTGCGCATAGGCAAGATTTTCTAATTTTTTCAGATGAATATACTCAGAGAATTAACAAGCTTCAATTTTATTTTAAATAAATGAATATATGTACCTATTTTTTAATTGGCGATATCAACATCTAGCAAGTCCGTTCCTTATATAAAGAAATATTGATGTTTTTATAACAATTTTTTTTACATTATAATTTAAACTACTAGGTGTGTTATGGCACTGTATTTGTTGTGTTTACAAGTTGTCATGCTTCGGAAGTTTTCCATTATGAAAGGAAGAAAATGAAATGTTTTTCCATTTTTTCAAAATAATTATATTCCTTCCTATAACCAAAAAGTATTGTTAGGTAATTAAAACGTATTACTAATAAGAATAACGCTAGTATAAAATTAATGGGCCGACTTAAAAGAAACATTTAAGTAATTACTATTACAATTTACATAGTATACGAAAGAGCGGCGTAAAACCTTAAACTGCCAGTTAATATTCTGTATGCCCTAAGAATATATGAGTTAAATAGAAACGCCTGACCATATTTATTTAACTTTCACTTACCCAAATGAAGTTGGTAAACAAATTCACACAGTACTCCACTGACGTTTAATATTCGCGACAGCACGCCTTAAACTGGTTTTACGGTTCACATTCACTGTTTTAGGGATACCACTTTAAAGCTACACTTTTTGAACTAAACAAAATTAAACCACAATAAGATTACTTTTGTATGACCTCAACCACAACATAATAATTATTTGTATAAATATATAAATTTGATAAATCCCTTAAATTAAAAAATAGTTAAAAAGATTTCTTTAAGAGGACTGAAATAAATTAAACAACAACCAACTTGAGCGGAAATGTTTTTATTGAATATACGTATAATGGGACAAGTGAGATTTTTTATGTTCATTTTTAACCATATTGAAAAAGAGAAAATAAAGACTGGCAACATTCAACGTAAGTCTTGATCACGCACCCGTTAAACTTCTTGCGCGCGTGGACATTTCGTTCTATCACAATAATATTTCTGAAGTAATGAAATTTTAAAAATTAATTTTATTTAGCCAGGAATGTATATTTAAGGAATGTAAAATTTACCAACTTAATAAACTCAGCGTTTGAACAAAAATTAACAATAATGTATTTTTTTATAGTTTAGTTAATCAAATAGGTACTTAACATCACATCACCTTTTCTTAATTGATATTGTTTGTTTGTTACGTAGGTCATTTGATAAAAATTTCTTTACTGAACGGATTAAAGAGGAAAATTAAACACAAAATGTCATTTTAATACATATTTTTATTGCAAGATTTCTCTACTATATAATACTACATTTAAAGATTATTCAATTATTACATACCAATAATTAAAAATAAACGATACACAATAATCGAAAAATCCATCACATAAAAAATGTATTATCTACATTACAATATATTAACGTGCCTTAAAAAATTAAACGTCATACAAAGCACCGAAAAACAATGGCAAAAAAAACATTTTACATTTAAAAAATAATATAATGCAAAAAATTTAAATATCGAAAAAAAAATCTAAACTGCCATCTTTTATGGCAAAGACTGTAAAGCTTAATCTAGTTCATTACAAACTATGCAAAACGGTGCAGATGAAAAGTTGACAATTAACATTTTCACTAGAATGAAACGTGAAATGTCAATTATATTATATTCGTTGATTCAAAATTGAATCAAATATTTCTAATTTTTAAGTAAAATGTGATAAAAATATTATTTTCGTTGTGATTTATACTTACATAATAAATAATGAATTAATTTCCTTCTACGAATTTTCCACTATTGTTTTTTCATACATAAAATGAACATCTATCGAATTACTCTATAATAATCAATATGAGATTCTTAAATAGAAAAAAATACTTTTTACAATACTACAAACGATTCAAAACCGGTATTTTAATAACCTTGTTATTAATGTGGTACGAATAATGAGTGATTTAATTCACGTATCAAAGGTCGAAATGTATTCCAATAATTCCATTAAAAAATTCCATTGAAATCATTTACAATTTTATTTAGGCACCAATCTGAAAGTGGAGCAGGCATATTCTAACTGAATTCTTTTTCGATTTCATAAGATATTCAAATCTGCTCGTACCCATAAATTATTACTTATACGAGATAATGTATGGGTTCGATTGTTTTTAATCGGGTAAAAATAAGCTTTTTGTTTCTTAAGTTTTAAAGTTTAACAACTTTTGAAAATTCCTAACAATTTCATACGAACATAATATACACAAATATATGTATACCTATTAGATTTTTTGACTTTCATCTCCTCTTTATAAATTTCACAAGCATACAAAAGCTTATAAAAAATGTAAATGAAGAACCGAAGAATTAAATTAATGTTAACCTTATCTAAAATGAGCATAATCAAAATTCAATGTTGCCACATAAAGCTACCATGCAATTAAAGTACTTCTTAAAAACTACTAAATACTCTCAACTTACACTAATTAAGTACTTTAGGAATGTGTGAAAATAAAATAGGACTACTTTTCAGATATCTTGTAAATAAAGTTAATTCTATAAACTTTACGTCTTGTTCTAAACGGGGTTGCGCGTTCTTATAATCCATTACGTGGAAAAGTAATCAAAGGAACTTTCAAAGATGTCTACCAATTAAACCTAACTTAATTTGATTGTCAAAGGTACTATACACTTACCTACATATTACCATTAAAGCAAACTCTTATGGCGACTTTATTTTTAACACATAGTAAATTAAACGAAGTCTCAATAAAATAGCACCTATTTTGTGCTGCAGATAAATAATTCTGTGAAATATAAATGATATATTAGATTTGAACGATTGATGAACCTCAAATTGATATTTATATTGATCTCTCACGTTAATTATTTTCAAGATCATAATATATATTTGCTCTCATGGATTTCTATTGGCTATATTTGACGGAAAATCAAATGATAATTGATAAAATATTTGTAAAAATAAAATCTAAAAATATAAATTAAAGACTAAAATTAAAAAACAGGTACAAAAAATAATGATTTACTTTTATCTTACCTTAATTTAATAAGTGATGTCTTGTTAAAGGCAAATGGGGCAGACACAAACAGGTCTGATCTTTTTTTTTGTAACTGGATAGTAATAATTGACTTACAATTCTTGTGAAAATCAGATAAGCGTTTATTTTAAAGGAATTAATTGCTTCTTGTTTACTAAGGTAATAATCGTGTATTTAATAAGTTAACTAGTTCATTTGCAACTGAGCAATCGGTGGTTGACAAGAAGAAACGAATAAAAAATTAAGTTTCGTGATAAAAATCTAGGTTCAAAGGCACCCAAAACAACATGAGCTTATCTAATATCTAAAAACTGAGAAACGTAATCAGTTGCAAAAAATCATACAATAAATGTAATGTATTGATACTGATAACTGGGAGTATTTGCTTATCCTATATATAAATCTATTTCCCATTATATATAAAATAATGTCTAGGACGGACAATAATATAATTGCACTTTTGGGAATGTATTTCACTATTTCTACCATTTATTTTTAATTATGGCAATCTCTGTAGATGTGTATATTGAATTCGACGAACTGTATTTTGCTCTCTGCATTCAAGTAGCATAATTCCTGGAAAGAAATTATTATTAGATTACAGAATACTTATATGATAAGTACGTCCTCCATTTGATATAAAAGAAACTAATTTCTTCAATTCAAGAGTAATTTAGTTTAAAAATCGTGAAGATTTTACAGTCAGCGCTTAGATTCATTACTATGTTCATTATTACGTTCTTGTGTGAAGAGAATTGTGAACGAATAAATAAGATATAGGAATGAAGGAATTACTTAATTCTAGTTCTAAATTGCTTCGCATACAATATATTTTCCGTTTGAGCAAAGTAAAAAGCAACAAGGCGCTTAGCAATTGCATTTAAAACTAGTCTTTTAAAAATATTGTAATAAAATCCTATGCAATGCATAATGCAAGAGAGTAAAAACGTCGTCCAATCATATCAGAAAAACAAAGACAATCAATTAAAATGGTTCCATACTGTAACACGGCACATCTGAGGCCAAAACCTAAAAGGTTGTAGGACCACTGTTTTAATATAACTAAAAATACGTTTTCACGTATGTGGGACTTGAATAAGTGTAATAATAAAAATCGTATCGAACTGTAAACCTCGCTTGAATAGAGTCCCTTTTGTGTTTCCTCACGCCCGAACCCAATAACCTATCACAATCCATAATCCACCATCTGAGATAGTAATCTTTATCCAACTATTGTAACACCTTTGTATGTTAATGACAGTTGACGAAAGCTCGATTTCAACAGTTAATTATTTTGACAGATTTTAACTTACACCAGTTTTCTAAATAATTAAAAAAAGTGTTTGTTATGTTTTAAACATACCACATGTATATTTTAATGTTATTTGTACGGTTTTATTTACTTTATTTGGTTTACATTGATTATCAAATATGAGTGAAAACTCGGTAAAATGGAACGACATAGATCTTTTTATCCGTCGCCAAAAATGGATTTTCTTCGTAAGGTTTGGTTATTGGGATGCAGATAGGAGATCGATCGGTGTCACGGTCTGATCTCAGATTATTTTCAATCTGAGATTGTGGATTAATTATTGGGTTCGGGTGTAAGGCACTTTGTAGGATTTGACTAGAGATCTTTCAAAATAACAATCCACTAAAACATACCCTAAACTCTAAAACAACAAACATTTCGAAATATATCAGAACCAACCTTGATAGGGACAAAACTGCCTCGTAGCTTCAACGTCCGGTCCATGTTACACTCGAGTGTGAGCTTCGAAGACCACACATCCATGCTCGGAAGAGGCTTCGCTATGTCTTTGTTAAGTTGACAGTTCTTGTTCGTGTCGTATTTGCATTGGAGATCGCATAGACGGAGATCGCGGAGTTTTGACGATCTACAATTTATTTTATTATAAAATTGTTTCTTAAATTTAGTTTAGTGATGATGTTAGTAAAGCTAAATTTGCTTAATATGTTTACTTTCAAGATTTATCGAAGAATTTTGTTTATTATTTGGACCCGATTGACGTTGTCCTGTACAAACGTTTAAAATACAAAAAATCATCTATTTGTAGTTTTATTACTTTAGATTTATATACTTAAACCATGTTCGAATCCACCTGAACACACACAAAAGTTTTTTAACGAAATCGGTCTACGCGTTTAAGAGGAGATATAGTACAAACACGCGAGCAGAAGACATATTTTATGTTTCTAAAAAAACATAAGATATCATATGTCTTAAAGCTAGAAACGATTGTATTGGAAAATTAAACTAATTATGCCTATGTTATTGTTTTAAATTTTTTATTATGTAGGTACATGAATAAACCTTCCCTGAACCTCCACAAATATTTCAAAATCATAATTAGCCAAATCGGACCAGCCATTCTCGAGTTTTAGTGAGACAAACGAAAAGCAATTCTTTTACCTATATATATATATATATAGATATTATTATCGGTGGATTGTTTAATATAGTATATTTATATTTTAAATTTAATTAGAATTTTTGAATAGTCATACCTAGAAACAAATCTTATTAATTACAAACGTAAAATGTGTCTTACCTGAATAATATATCCACGTGCTTATGATGCAAACAATGAGAGAGCGGGATAGAGTATGTATAGTTGTGTGGTGCGCGTGCGCAAACTGACTCAGTGAATACGGTTATATTTGAAATCGATTTACTGCTTATTCCCACTGAAATCGTGTCGCATTCTGTGGATAAATTGCATAGTAAATATTTGTTTAAAAGTAAAAAAATATATCACATACAAATTACATAATTGATTACACAAATATATCACATATTGTTACATAGACCGTTTTATTCTCTATTATAGGAAAAGGATCCACGTTTCTTAAATTCTCATATAGAATATTATGTCATGTATATTCAATTAAGTCTCAAAAAAAAAAGCATAGTCGTTAGTATTAATTTTTATCTAGAATCTAGATCAACTGATAAACAAATGAGATAGGTAATTCTCTTCTTCAATTTTAAATGCACTACAAGTATCAGTTAAAACACAAACCTCGTCCAATCTCGTCCGATTGACTTAATATCATCTCCTCCGAACTGCTCTTCAAAATCCCTTCTCCCTCCTCCCCCACTTCGACTTCCCTCTTCATTCTTCCCTCACTAATATTCTTGGCGTCTAGGAAGTTCGACTCCGCTATAATTTCTTCTTTTAAATGTTTCTTCATCTCCTCTTTTATCTCCGATGTGTTTTTATCAGCTAAAAAGTTATCGAAAGATTTTTGTAACGTTCATAGCATTTGTTTATAGAGTGATTCTGTAATAATTCTTATATTTGACGTCAAATAGTGATGTAAAAATGTTATGTGTAAGTGTTGTTTACTTTTATGAGTCAATTTATAATACATACCAATGACTGGTGTAATAATTTTCTCTTTGATAATAGGCTCTAGTGGTCTAGAGTAGGTTTCATTGAGCACTTTGTCGGGTTTTCCGCGCTCCAAAGGTTCCTGACTTTCATAGGTCTGTGGGGCGTCTAGGCACGACGACTGCAATTATAAGATCGATAATAGATTAATCAGAAATCTATTAATTTGTACGAGCAAGGTTTTCAAGGTCAAGGAGCATTTCTGGTCCCTTAGCTTTTCTATTAAACACTTCGTGGCTTAAAGAATACAAGACAATCAAATTATAAGGAGGGCAACGGACGATCTTATCAAAAACAAATGAATAATTGAAGGGTAAAGAAAAAAATACAATGTAAAAGTTTAACAAGTGGTTAAATTGTACCACTGTTTATGGTACTATAATGAAGCTGTACTATTTCTATTCTTACCAATACATTCATCAACCAATGAGAAAATGTTCCAATATCCTGAAGGCAGCAATAAAAAAGAGATATTGGTAATTCGCGATATTTATATATAAAATGTTACGACAATTTCTCAACTAAGTCTTTATATTAAAACTAGAAAGAACTTCATTTGTAACTTTACTTTACGTTACAAATGAAGATGTGGCACCTGATAAAACCGGTGACTCCAGAGCTGGTGGTTGCTCAACGAATAAGTATCGCAATACAGCGAGGAAATGCTGCCAGCGTTAAAGGTAGTGCACCTTAGTGTACCTTTTTAAATTTGTTTTCATTTTCTTTTTATTAATTTTTAATTTAAATTATTGTGTAGGTTAAGAAAATTGTAAATACTGTATACTTGATTGTTATGATTACAAATAAAGATATTTAGGCTAATATTACATTGGCGAAAATAGATTTAAAACAGTACAATTAATTACCTGACACTCCGCATCCAACTCGTTGTCCGTGTTGATAGTGAAAGCACATCCTCCTCCAATGACGTCTGCGATGCGACTGATGGAAATTGGTCCCTCCCAACGAGGGGTCGTCGAAGTTTGTTCCATGTCTAAATAAATAATAAATATAAAATATAATAATAAATTAGTAAAATCAGTAATTTATGATATGTTTTGTGTGTCTTTATAACAGGACAAGTTCCCATATCTTCAAACAACATCAGAAGTTCATTATATCGATATTAAAATTGCACTATATACTATATATTAATAATATATGTCAACGGAATATAATCCGCAAGTTTATAAATTTCCTAGGACGTTTATAAACTTTCGTAGTATTCTAAACGATAGATAAATTGTATTATTTTGCGGCCACAAATTTTGTTATTATAAATTTGCGACGTCTCGTGGTAAATTTATTAACTAACGGATATCCATTCGTAAGATTCTAAACGGTTAACCACTAGTTTATAAACCTGCAGATTTTGTTATATTCCGGTGACGTATATACTATCACGTCTTTTAGGCAATGACCACGGATCTCCTCTTGCTACGGTCCTTAACCCGTCTCGCTTCATAAACTTTTGTGACATACACCATCGTCGATTATGAGTACTTTTAACTTGTACTTTCTCTAGTATCTTCAGGTACGACAAGGCATTCATTCATTTACCATCTAGGGTTGCCTTGTATATATAAGAATAAATTCGTGTAGTTATTTCGACACTATTTTTATGTTATATATTTTAAACTTGTAAGATTATTAGAGTCACCGGAAACACGTTATAATTACAGAGGGTCTTTTACTATGGAATTTGAAAATACTTACGTAAGACATTTTTAACGTAGTTCCTAGATGCATGAAGCGTGGTCAAAGTCGGGAGTGGCGGATCTATTGATGTAAACTCCGGGTTCTTGTGAGGACCTTTCTCTAAAATATTTTTTTTTTAAATACAGTATCAACAGATAAAAAAAAGCAAGCTAGACTCAAATTGCCTTAGACTCAAAAAGTCGAGGACGTGTGTCAGGCACAGGAGGCTGATCACCTACTTGCCTATTAGATTGACAAATGATCATAAAAGAGATACAGAAATCCAGACCTAAAAACGTAGGTGCCACTGATTTATTTATTTTATTAGACCCAATATTCAATAAACAAGCGCATATGTCGATAAAATAATCACCTTTCGCTGTTTTCTTCGTAGCTGCATGTTGAGGTTTTGAATTCTGAAAAAGTATTAATTGTTAGTATAGTTTTTCTCATTTCTATTTTGGCCAAACAATTGGCAACTGTAAAACTGTTATTACCATTTAGGCCTGAACGTAGCTGGAATATTATATTAGTGGACATTGTTTATATACCTGTATTTGGTTTTGATCAGGCGGCGTTGCTCTATGTACGGGCGCATTGTTTAAATTAAACTTTCCATAATGTGGGTAGTTTGAAAATTTCTCGTGCATCCGTATCTCCTTCATAGACAATAGTTCTTGGTGCTCCCGGAAGTATAGAGCTGACATTACGACGAGACTGCAAAATGTTACATATGAGAATATTTTTAATTTAATACGATAAAATAAAAGAAATTCAAAGTATTAATGCCGACATAACAACCGTAAAAGTAGAAAACGTCAACCAACATAAAAAGTAAGTTAAAAAGCTATTTTATATGCATATGTCGCGCTCCTGACAAGACTGCTATGATTACATTTATACATCCAAACCACAGCAGTTTTCAAATGTAACATATCATGATTTAGATTATATTATTATATGTAATAAAAAAAACATCTAACTAGTGACAAAAAGCAATAAAATGTAACTGAAAACTTTATTTAATTGAATGAATTCTTGAATATTTGGTTACCTAAAAATAATACAAGATTAAAGTATAAAACGTTAGTTGACGAGTACGTACCACACAGCCATAATAAACACCAATATAGTTATTACAATTTGTAACAGTTTATTCGAAATCAGTTCATTGCCATCATATCCATACTTTTTTCCGCAACACATGTTGCCATAAGCAACATCTCTCATCCATAGACACGACTCCTTCCTCGTACTTATTTCGTCTGGCATTTTTTGTGGAGTTTCCAACGTACTTACGTACGTAGGATAATTGCTGTCCAAATTTTCAGATTTCTCCGATTTCGAATGATATCTAACACATGTTTTATTATAGTTATAATATTTTCCATATTTCGAGTAAACTTGACAATTTTTGCACTGTTTTCGGGTGTATTTCGGGGAGTTGTGACTGAGTTTATGGCAACCCTCGTGTCGGCGTATTGAACGCGCGATATCACGTATTTGGTCTATGGAAATATTGCCATCGCTGTAGAATGACTTCGAGGATGCCGAGAGTCCTGAGAAACGGGAGTCTAGAAATAAAAGAAATACTTTTTTTTACATACTAGGCATTACATAATCGAACTGGGACCATAGTTATTTTAGTTCGGAAGACTGGTAATGCCCTACTTAACAAAATAACAGACTAAGACATATCAAAAAGCAAAAAGAGTCGCTTCGAGTAATTTTTAGTTGTTATGTTATTTGTATTATGTTTCAAGAGATAAAACGAAATAGATAGATTGGCTAACCGTTACTAGCACTGGACCTCGCACTGTCTCTCCGCTGCAGTCCAATCTTGCAGAGTCGTCTGTTCATCTTCTCGAGCTGATCTATCCGTGACTCCAGGTGCCCCGTCACCTTGCACAGCTCCTTGACAGCACCTAAGTTCTCCATGAAGATACGATCCTGGAACAATGATTAAAACGGTTAAAGTAACGCCATTTTCACGATAAGCTTAGTTGGATTTGTTTGTTTAAAGTATTTTCTGTTATATTTAACTTGTAATTTGTTATACTAAAATTTGTCTATGTATCTATGTTACACATGCAAAGAGGTTAAGTTAAAGTATAATACAGAGGTCATAATTTCTAGAAAAATCTTGCAAGAAATTACTAAAAACGGGCAAACTTGGCAATACAAATAAACTACTATTACGAGAACACCCAGCCTTATTAAGGCTGTTCAAATATGCATTTAAAAACACATTTTTGACGTCTTTTAATGACTGTATACACGGACTCTCTATTATATGTTTATATAATAAACTATAAAGTGATCCTAAGCGATAATGATAAAAATTACTTAAAATATTCTGATTACTAAAAAAACCTTTTCTCACCTTGTTAACAACCAAAAACTTGGGAATCGTATCTCCGTTGGGTAATGTGACATCGCCGGCCTCTTTTACGGCGTCGGGTAACACTTTCCTAACTTCCTGTGCCAGTACACCCGTGTCACGCGAAGTGGTCCGTGGGTCCCAGCCCACTAGGCCCGAATGTTCCGCGAACGATGGGTCGTAGTTGAATCTATAAAAGAAAATATATGTATATAGCGAAATGGCATGTAATGCACTGATATTTTACATACAGATCGAAATAAAAAAATGTTTTTTGCCGACCCATGAGTTCCCCCCTTATCTTAAAATAATTTATACATTTTTGAGATGAAGACTATCTAATAATATCTATATGTGCACTATTTTTTTTATTAATTAAAGTAATAGAAAAATTACACCGACTTCAAATACTTAGGTAAATAATTAGCAAACCTATTTTACATGTGTAGAAATGCGTAAAATATATACATATCGGGGAATAGATTATGACGAAAATAGTAATTGCTCAGTAAGTTGTAATTTAGCTGATTATATTTTAGAGATATTTATGGACATAAGCACTTTGAATGTTCTATATCAAATAGAAATGTATTTTTTGAAAAAAGCAAACTCCGCGCGTGGAAACTTCCAGTCAATCACAGTTTTTTGGTTTTCCATTAAACAAACACAAGAGATCGAATAAATGATACTTCACTTACTTAACAACGCGTATGTTCGCAACATTCTTCAACTGTTGCGCAGTGTCCAATTCCACAATATCATGCTTTGCGCGTGCGTCTGACGGATGCACTATATGACCCATCACTTTCAGGTTACCTGAAGATATAGTTTGACTACTATTTACGATAATACTCGTCTTACTTATAGACACACTTTGAAGATTATATTTATAAATATACATTGTTGGAGTACCTACTCATTTCTATTTATTATATTTTTGTCGTTTTCGAAGTTCGATGAGCAGAACATTACTGTTTTGCTAAAGGTATAAAAATGAAAGGTTCTATTAGACATATACATAGACATAACATTTCTACTAACAAAACACACAAAATAACAATAATAAAAAGAATGAGAGAAAACAATTTATTTTTAAAGAACAAGGTATGTTTAAAGTGTGTAATGCGTGTGTGCTGTGGTTGTAAGTGGCTCTGGCTTTACGGAATGTAATAATACTACTACTTAGTAGAAAAAAAAATAGTAAAAGTTAGCAGTCTAAGTAATTAAGTATATTACTGGCATCTAATACGAGTAGGTATGCATTACTTTTGTCCCAAGATTTGATTCTCTTTCCCTCTTTATTCTTCTACTATTTTAACTGGTAAATAATTATTAACATTATCTGACACCTTAGTTTCAGTAACAATAAGTCACATTTATCTTACGAACAAATTAATTTGCTTGACTTTTTACTGGAAGGCTTGCATGAGTGATGCCATGATGATGCATAGCAGAAATTTATGGGCGGTAGTTAGCGTTGAAAATAATCTACCATTAATAACACAGCTCTCGTCCGGTCTGTCCGTGTTAATCCCAACTCGTCCGTTGAAATGCACGCTGTTCTCCGACACTCCTCGCTGCCACCAATTCTCTGAACAGTCAGACTCGAATTGGCCGGGATTTGATGCCTAGAACAATTAAAACAATGGTGCAAAATATTTATAAACAGATAAACAAAAACATTATTGTGTTGATTTTACCTGACATATTATAAAGACTTATTCATACAAATAGTGTTTGGCTCGTTTATTTATACATAACGACACAGGAGAGATAAGGACAAACATCTAATGGGCATTTATTTGGGTTATAATAATTACTTTGCATCATTCACGGAATACAACAAAGTAGAATAATAATACAATTTATTTGCCTCTTTACAATATTGCATTTTACGGGTTTACATGCTGGTGGCTTTAATAGGACTGTAGAAGTCCTGTGGTAACAGGTCACCAACCTTCCAATACCGACAGATAATATACAAAAACATGATTCACATACTATTACTAAAGAAGAATGAATGAAAGATGTAAGAATTAATAGTGTGTGGATTATAATTTTACTTTAAAAATTAATTGAGAAATTTTATTACAAATCCTTTGGCATGCTATATTAGTAACCCACTTCCTCGCAACTTTTGCATGCTATATTTTTGCTGGATTTGACTTGTTTGAAAGGGTTGGCATATCATCATACCTATATACATACATGATTCACATTGAACTAAGATTCACAAAGGTTAAACTCACCCGTACAATAATCCTGTCACTCGCATGAGCAGCCACAATATATTCACTGGTAGCCGTGTGAGCCTTGAGGGCTACAACCAGCTGGAAGTGCCTCTGGTCAGGGTTGGGACGACCCTTCTTCCGCATATTGTTGTTCGTCGTTTCCGCAAAATGCAGTCGACCAACAGTTATTTTAGAGCCTTCACGACGGAGTTCCACACTAGAAATAAATGTTACAATTTGTCAAAAAATTAATTTTACTTTTGAAATATAATTAATATAATTATTTTTACCTAATTTTAGGTTATTATTATTTATTTAAACCTAATGGTTTATTTAACTGATCAATTCGGGGCGAACCGAAAAAAGATGGATAGATGGAAGATGTGGTTTTGAAGGAGAAAGTTGCGAATACCATGAACTGCAAAAAGAACCAATAAGTCCATTCTAAACCAACTTTCTTTTTCTTTCAATAAAGTTCACAAAAAAGAGTGCGACTTTACATGAATTACAATCTAGCCTATAGGTACAATAATTATGGCTAATAAGTAATATTATGTTGACTTAATTTTCGACAATACTAGTGAATAGCTTTATGGTAATGTTCATTAACAGTCTTAGTGTTCTATAAAGTTTTGACACTATGTTCGTGTGTCCGAGATACCGCGCTTGCACTTATATTCACTACACTAGGTTTATTAACTCAAAAGGTTTGGTTCTCTTTTAAGCTGGTAATGGTAGGGAGGAGTGATGGTAGAAGAAGTCTGAGGTCCCGTTGGTCTGACCAAATTGAGACAATTATGGGTCTTAACATCCCTAAAGCACTAAGACAAGCTGAGGATAGAGTGGTGTGGAGACAGCAACTGGATGTATTGGTTAGGGCTTTTCAAAACAGGCACGACCTTTAGTAATGAATACTACGAAGAAGAGAAGAATTACCGGAAATATTGAAGAATCCTTATAAAATAGTATTACTGGCAATAAGTAGAAAGGACTTTTAAAAGTAGTGGCACTTATAAAATTAAGTAAAATATTACGCAAAAATGTGCTTAAACTATGAATGAAGTAATCATAATGCATTTGTAATTTTCGCGCTAGTTACATTTATCGATACCTTATCTAAATCTAACTAGCTAAATACGGTATCAAGTATCAAGCCATCAGGCCAGACAATAAGCTAGTGAAAATACTCACGGGACGGGATGAAATGGCTTCTTTGTTCTGTCGGATTGACTCTGTTCTATCCGCACTTCTTGACTTGGATCTTCAGCCTAGGAATGCAAAAGTATGTTATTAAAGGACTTTAGGATATATAGAAAATATAAAGTAGGTACTCAATTTTCCAAAAACTTTATTTTTTAGAAATTTTATACCATTTATTTATTTATTTATTAAAGTTCACATATAAAACCTAACATAACATAAAAAAAAATTTATTTATCTACTTCTTAATAATTATTATTAATTTACTTTTAATTTAATTTTATTTACTTCACACCATTACAGACTTCATAACTTACACTGCTAACTTTTACTAATAATATTATTTTTATTTTTTATACTAAGTATTATTACATTCCTTTTCTTTCTTTTTTTTGCGACTGAGGCGCTGTGGTCTCTGGCAGAATAACCAGCGCTCTGGAGCATATTGCTGAGCCAGGGCCTATTACAACCACAGCACACGCATTATACACTTGAAGCGAACCGAATGGGAAAAGGGATTTTTATTTATATCTCTCATTATATTTTTTTCTTTGATTATTGTTATTTTGTGTGTATATGTTTTTGTTAGTAAGAAATGTTTTGTCTATGTTTATATAATGCTATCTATATCTACAGTATTTGTTAGAAGCTATCTTTTCTAAAATACATGACAATTATGATGTTAAAAATGTTACATAATATATACAAATAAGCAAACAGCGGATTAGGTATCAGATAGGCGCTTAACTTTGCTTTTTATATTTAATTAAGAAAAACAAACTGTTTATTTACTAAAACAATTCATTCAGCTGCTTTGCATATAATTAAATATTACCTTGACTCCATAAAAATGTAAACAAAAGCTGTTAATCTTCTTATATCCGTCCACAGTCTTCGTATACTGCGGGTCGCCTGACACTTGCATCTGGCATGTGACCTGGAAGTGGTTCTTCTTCTGGCAGACGAAGGCTTCGTCTATTTGGGAATAGTTAAAGCCTTTGTCGGCACCCACTATGTAGGACGGGGGCAAGCTGTGGGATCAATATACCATATTTTTAAATAAAAAACATAGATTTCTTTTAAACAATGTAATAGACACATACACATATATCTTGTTTGTGGACAATACTTACATTGGCTTCAAATTACTATCAAACAGAGCGTGCCACGAGGCCTGTTGGAAGTGGCTGAAGCGTATACTCTGCTGTGGAACATCATCACCAGCCTCTGAACCGTCTACTGAAGGTGGGGGACGGACTATGTTTTCCGGGGAGAGGGCCGCTACAAGAAATATTATTCACGTTTAAACTGACGATGGATGCTATATACAGGGATTATTTATTATTTATTTATTTAGTAAGCAACGCATTAAACATATATAAATACGATTTTCTGATTAGCACTTTCTTGTTAATATAAAACACGGGGCAAACGGGCAGGTCACCTAATGTTAAGTGATTCTGCCGCCCATAGATTACATTGTGTCTATGGGCTCGCAAATGCGTTGCCAGCCTTTTAAGAACTGGTACGCTATTTTCTTGAAGGACTCCACTGGCGGAGGCCAGTACGAACATAGGTTTTACTTTTTAGTGTTGTTTAGAATTCCAGCTTTTCATGGGCCCTTTTCTATATAATTTTTCATAATTAATCCGTTTCTTATGCACATCTCGCGGCCTAACATTTAAATGGCTTTTCCTTAAACGAGTGCATAAAACAAGTCCTCAGTGAGTAACTTTAATATAAACTTTTTCCTTATTAATAAAACAAGTTAGTTTCTCATTGCATTCATCCGTTTCATCAATACAGCGTAAACAATATCAGAAAGAGAAGAAAACCTGACATAAAACATTCGTTTTAACTTATGAAGATCACCTGGTTCACATTTAACATCCTGCGAAAGTTTCCTCTTCTTCGGTTCTTGCAGGTTGGTGTACACTGGTGTGACTTCATGGCCTAATGACACGAGCTGTGTCGTCATCAGACCCGGTTCTATATCCGGCATGTCTACTCGCATTTGGCTGTACCTAGAAGAGAATATATCAATTAGGAACGTCATTGAAAAAGCAGGGAATAGTTCGTATTGAGGGAATGTCATTAAACAACTTCTCTCTTTGCCTCATCTGCAACTGTACAATGCCAGGTTTGCTTCCGCTGTCCTTGCAGGTTCCAATCAAGCGCCTGCTTGGAGATATAATTGGAATCTCTTCGGTTGATATGGCATGGCTAGTCGGCAGCGTTTCCAAAGTTTCTCGTTACAGATCAGACCCTTAGATACCCAGAATACGGCGAAGATAGAGATTTCAAGTCTTCTATACATGTGCAGGAACGATAAATCTATTGATATACAGTCAGGGTTTGCAAGCCGGAGCTCAGGATTGAGAATCGCAAGCTTAAACCACTGGGCAAGAAAATGTATCTAATTGACGAATCACGTTAAACTTACCTGTTCTGATACACCGGCTCCAATCCAAGCTCATGTCTGACGCTTCTCAGGCCTAAGTCTGACTCCTGCATCACAACTACATCATTTCTTAGAACATCCTGCTCTATATTGTCTTTTATTTCATCGTATATGTACTCTTCGTTTTGGAGGACCTGGGATAAGTTAAGTTTAAAAACGTCAGTAAGAAACTATTGCTAGATTCATGTGTTATTTTAGATGGCAGAATGTTTTGTATAAAACAGAGGTCAAACGGGCAGGAAATAACCTTATGTTAAGTGATACATGGAAACTCACACTGCCAGAAGGCTGTTTATTGTTTAAGATCCTAAGCCGAATTGGTTCGCAAATACTTCTGTGATTAGCTGGTTCCGCATAGCGGTGGTGCGCGGCTAGAACTGACATAAAAAACGCTCTGGTTCCTTCAAGAAAAGAGCAATGTACTGACGAGCTCTCTGGTACTGAGAGTGTCCATGGGTGGCGGTATCAAACACCAGGTTTCCTGCCCGTTTACCTCCTGTTCTTTAAAAAAAGTGTCGAGGTGATACGGGTGGAATTTCGTATTCTGCCTCGACGTCAGAAGATATAAAATCGTATAATTAGTTTTTTGATATAAGCGATAAGCTTTTAGTGTTTAGATTGCAACAAGGATATATTTAATAGGTATTTGGCGCTTTATGTACTGTTTACGAATAATATCGCTTAATTGTATTTGTGGATTTGATAAACGTTGGTTTCTGTTTTACCTCATGAATGTTAAGATGCTCAGGCAGTAGCATATAATCTGGAGCCAGTATCGTCTGGGAGACCGCAATACTATGTGAGACATGTGTGTCTGGACTATAGGGGTTCTCTGAACCCGAGTCTGGTGGACTATCAGGCAATTGGTGCCCGCTGAAACACAATCAAACATTTGATAAAGAATTTCATAGCTATTGAGTGTTCCCTTAAATTTGGCACAAGAAACAAAAGAAAATCAATGATCGTCATACATTGTTAAAGTTTTGAAACTACAGACAAATAACTTTCAATAAATATTTTTTGTTTATATGTATATAATTTCCTATGTTACATGTATACACCCACTTTACGCGTATTCGTATACACTGACATCGCTTACATATCGTGTATTAATTTTGCAATTACTAAAGAGTTATACTACGTATAGTTAAACTATTAGATACTTCGAACGGACTTTTAAAATTATTCCTTGAGCCAGATTAGCTAAGAACACTCTCAAGCATCTCTTAATAAAATCAAAATGCCTACATTCATTATGGATCTCCGACGTCATCAATGCAGTCTACAGAGAAGAAGCAGATACAGATCTCTTCTACGGTATAGATAACTAAGATGTGATGGGCAATTTTTTACTAAAACTGATTTTGCTGTAGCTCTTTGCCATCTATACATAGTCTTGTGGTTAGTTTGTCTGTAGATCATTGTCCCAGGTTCAAATCCTATAGTTCAAAGTTAGTCACATGACGGTGTTTGCATACAACGACGTATGCCATTGCGCAGATTATCGAGCGTGATATCCAGACACATGCGCAGAATCAATAAAAACTATCATGGCTAAATCGGCATTATTTGATATCTAGTCAGTAATCTCTAATATGTGACTTATAAGTCGACACCGAACATGCGTGCGTTCGAACTAATACAAATTCACACTTCACACAGTTAACTTTCTTTGTACGTAAAATATCGTAAGAAAACATGTATTAGACATGTCACAGAAGGAAGTTGATAAGAATGATCAAGATGGAGAAGCCTGGAGCTTATTAAAGTGTATTAAACGGGATCTTACCCGATTCGGCGTGCATCCAGAGGCTGCGGCGCGTAGCAGTTTTCGCTAACCGGCGCCATGTAAGCCTCCAACTCGTCTATCAGACCTGGACCTGAAAAGTATACTTGTTAATAAGACATTCGACAAACGTTACTTTCAGTTAAATATTTTGTCACGTTCATATGGAAATATGTGATAAGGACAGAATATTCAATAGCTATTTAGTGATTAAGTTTTGTATTAGATACAGGCTTGTAATGAATTTATTTAAATTACAATACAATACATAAGATTACAAAGACAACATGGATGGAATCACCCCGCAAAAGAAGAGTGGCCAGGCCAAAAGTGGGCTGATGACTTAATAGAAATAGCAGGAGAAGACTGGGAGAATATTGGCAAAGATAGAGTCATAGTAAGGGTTGGAGGAGGCTTTACCAAAGAGGGGTCCATGTCCACAGGCGACTCACATTTTACTACCAACATTCAACAATAATAATAATATAAGCCTTTATTCAGACAGAAATTTTACATAATTTTAATCTTAAAGTGTCTCTAGTGAAACCCATCCCAACTTTGGCAAAGGCCTCCTACATTTCTTTCCACTCTGCTCTGTTCTGAGCTTTACTTGTCCATATTTTCCCAGTTACGGTTTTTATTTCGTCTTCCCATCTTCGAAACTGTCTACCTCGTTTTCTTTTCTTATTTCTTGGGTACCAATATATGATGTGCTACACCAAGTGGAACAAAAAGACTACCAACATTTAGCTATAAGTAAATACTAACAACATTTGAAATGTAAATTAAGGATATGAAAATAAAAAAAGACTTTATTATTACGTTACATAACATAAACAAATTAAGCCGCTAACATATTTAGAATGTGCAACACACGGCGAACAAAATAATGATATATATATTTAGTCCCATTAGCGCATTCAACCAAGGAAATACCAGGAATTCTAATTGAGACATGACACTTAATAATTTCTTTTTGGCTAGTCCATTCGTTGAGGCTATAGGATTCACAACAACCGTACGCGGTAAAAAATACCGAAATAGATTAAATTTGAAATCCACTTTCAATTTTAGCGTGCTTTAGAATGCATTAAATTTACAATAATTAATCACATTTCCGCCACATTACGCGTTGTCATATTCCAATAGGACAGGTCGATTTATGTTCTTCCTCAAAAAGCTGTTGCTAGGGGATCAAGCTAATACAACCACTATTTAAGCCTTGACTTGTTTAAGCTGTCGCGGAATATGCTTCAAAGGAGTATTAATAATATCCAAAGCGCTAAATCACCTGCATCATGAGCACACCCCACATATACACCCTCGCGTACATACCCTCACACACCATCACACAACACATGTGAATTAGGTATCACTTTGTTAAATGTGTTTAATAATTTTAATTTATTTTTTCCTTTCGTAAATGTTTGAACTTTTTATATATATTCCATCTTTGGCTATATCATTAGTATAATTGATTTTTGTTATATATAATTTCTGTTAGCTGGATTAAGAAATAAATAAACAAATTATTGATTTTAGAACTATGCAGCTTTAAATAAAAAACAAATAGTAGGTACAAATTATGACTAGTACTTTTTAAGAATAACGATAATTGTCTACCTATAATTTACGCGAATATCAGACATTTAAAACAAAATAAGGATTATTTCTCAAAATGTTAAGACCCGAACAGGTAAATTTAAATATGTTGACCAAATTAACTTTTTTTAAACCAGAGGGCAAACGGGCAGAAGGCTTACCTGATGTTGAGTGATACCGCCGCCCATGGACATTCTCAATGCCTTTTAAGAATTGGAACGCTCTTTCCTTATAGCCTAAGTCGAATTGGTTGGTGAATGGTTGGAATGTAAAACCATAACTAACAATCCTTTCTCTAATTTTATATGACAGACGACAGTCAAAATTAACGAAAATTGTCAAATGGATTAACCAGCCATGACCTAATTAAACCAGACCTGTCTTTGTGTGTAAAACTGTAATTTCCAAAAATCACTAGAAAACTGTCTTTCACTTTACGTCTGTTTGTCACAAGTAACACACGCACTGTGTTACATGTTGCATTGCGTCACGCCTAACCAAGTGTGAAGAAAATGCTGTCGAGCAAAATTAATTTGGATGTTTTACGAACAGACAAAAACTACTTTTGTCACGGCTTTGGTATGCGATGCTACTTGTGTGGACACGTTAGCCCCGTCTCAGCTCCCTCAGACAAGCAAAAATGCTGGGGCAGCCGCAGAGCAGGCGGAAAATAATAAACGGCTCAAATATATATAAGAATCTTTCCGCCAACTTCGATTTTGTTCCCTTTAGAGACTCTTGGCCCGGGGTTCAAGTGCCTCGTGCTAAATAAATTTTTTAGTTGTTCTATAGTAGGTACCTATTTACCGAGCTGGTGCTTTCCACGCTCAAACAATAAGTATCGCAATACAGCAAGGAAATGCTACCAGCGTTAAAGGTACACTGCCACAGGGACCAAACTTTTTAAATTTGCTTTAATTTTCTATTTATTAATTTTTTATTTTAATTAATATTATTACTATGTAGGTTTTGTTAAATGCTAAAAACCGTACTCCTGCTAAACAAGTATTTTAGCTATATATATAATTAATGTTTGGATATCCCAGGACATCATCGTGGTCCATGATCTTCGTCTGTTTGATATAAATTGTGCTTTGTGAAAAATCAATAACATCCCCAAATGTCTTGGATATACTTACTATTAATATACTTGTATTATTTGTAGCACCAAAATCATTTTTTTCTGTTATAAATAAAATAGTATATAAATCGTTACTTTATACATAATTGTTTCCTTATGTAACTTCATCGCCTTGATTTCTCAAGGATCTCGTGACGGATGGAATAACCTTGAAATTTTAATTAATTATTATCAGATAAGAAATAGTTTTATAAACCGACGGTCTTACTAATAAAAAATCACTATACATGTTTTATAACAAGGTGATAGTTATTCAGTGAATAGAGCTTGTACAGGGCATAAACACCTCTTTGACCAATAATCGATGTGTATTGGTTGAATAACTAAACGACCCTTATGTATTGTTACCCTGGCAACCCGCCGTGTTTGTTTGACGTTTGATTTAATAATTCTGATGACAACTCATAATTCTAATGTAAGTTGTATTTATTTTGTCAACCAAAACAATTATATATACATTTACTTAATATACTAATAACATTTTATTATTTGCAGCTAATAGAAACTCTAAAACCTCAGACAAAGAGGACTAGAATTTTACATAAAAAGCCGCGTTCTGCAGTACAAAATTTGGGAGAGGTTAGTATCAATGTGATAAAGAAAAGGACTATTTCATTAAAAGCCCTCAACGATCATACTTAAATTTTTTGGCATCTCAAATAGTGGAAAGTGCCAAACTCCGCAACACGGCAGTGTTCTAGTGTTTGCAGGAAGAGCACGAAACAAAACTAAGGCAGACACAGAGACTGAAACACAGAGGCTGAAACACATGAGCTCAAACAGAAGCAACTTGCCGAAGCTCACGAATGGGCTAGACAGGAGCATCTTCTAAGGCTCAAATCATTACAGCAGCAATTAAATGAATAATTATATACTTATAAAAAAAATAAAACCCCTGTTTTAAATGAAATATAACTTTTTATTTATTTCACGTCCTTAACTATCCACACCTATGTAAATAAAACAGTCTTACAAATATGTTTCAATAAAGGCAGCTCTAGCAGCTTGTCCAGCCTGATTGCTTGGGGGCGTCTAGGTTGGCCTTGGTTCTTCTGGAGCATTCTCAGTGTCATCATACATAACATTCAGGTCTTCTTTCATATCAAAAGCAATATTGTGGAGAATTGCCAGTGCTACTATATATAATTTGGCATTTTCTAATGACACTGTGAAGCCATGAAGAAGACACCTAAATCGAAAACCCTCCACCTCTATTACTCTTTTCGACATCAGCTCGCACTATGTCACAGATCTTCATTACATACTTCTTTGAAAAGCGGTATTTTGTTTTGAAATCGCCATCCGAAAGTAATAACGGATTGCACCGAGTTTGGTATGTTTTGACTTTCCTTGGAGGCAGCAAATCTTCAATCGTATGTATTAGCTGCATATCAATATTATCTAAATCTTCCATTTGATCTATAAAATCCATTTTCAACAAACACAAATACCTACTAACTTAAATCTTTCCTTGAACTAAACAGTCAAAAAATGCTATCAAACGCGATATCAGATCAAATGACGCAATTTTTGTCTTATACACCCGTTAAACTAGGCCTCTGCGTTGTATAAGCATTGTACAAGTCTTCATACAAACCAGACACTTGTTATAACAGCCGTATACATCAAACTTGTCAATTCAGGAATTATTAGTAACATTTTTCTTATAACAGGCTTATACGATGTGCATAAATCTTTATTAGTAAGACCGCGATAATTTAATAACTGCTCCGTAAGTCCGTCCGTATCTAGTTTTAATTTAAACTATAAAATCACAAAAAGACGCCGAGATAAAATAGGACATTTTAAAAGTTTTCTCTTTAATCTTTTTCACAGCAACATAACAATAAGATAAAGAATCCGAGTGAAACGGGGTGAATGGCTGAAACTGAATTCACTTGCACTGATCTCGTGACGTCATAATTATCTCGAATACGGTGGATAAGCGTATAATTAGATTCAAAGAAGTATAAGAAATATGAAATAATACTAACTACAATTTACAATTATTCCGTGGTACATGGTGCATGTTTAGTGTTACAACTAATCAAACAGAAGTCTTTTAAGACATTAAATAAGTGTGAATGTGTGAGTGTGTAAATGCGCGTATTTGAGATTGCAGCTGAGAGTTGTACGCTGTCTGTTAGTATTTGGCACTTCAGAGTCATGCCAAGATACGTAGTAGAGCCTGTGTAGATTCGAAATCAATTCGAGATTTGTGAGTTTGTATCTGGATAGTTTGAATATCTCAGTATCCATAGATTGGGAAATTTTATTATAAAGGATGAATTACGGCAAGTACGCAAGTTGCGGAAAGTATTTGAGGGAGAGCAACTTTTAAATAGCCTGTC